TACAAGTAGTGTGTGTTTACCATTGTAGTGTGTGTTTGATACAAATAAGTAGTGTGTTTGCACCATTGACCAAGTAGTGTGATACAAGTACAAGTGTGTGTTTGCACCACTGATACAAGTAGTGTGTGTTTGCACCATGGTTGATACAAGTAGTGTGTGTTTGCACCACTTGATACAAGTAGTGTGTGTTTGCACCCACTGATACAAATAGTGTGTGTTTGCATCACTGATACAAGTAGTGTGTGTTTGATATGGTTGATGAAGTAGTGTGTGTTTGCACCACTGATGGTTGATACAAGTAGTGTGTGTTTGCACCACTGATGGTTGATACAAATAGTGTGTGTTTGCACCACTGATACAAGTAGTGTGTGTTTGCACCACTGATACAACTAGTGTGTGTTTGCATTGATACAAGTAGTGTGTGTTTGCACCACTGTTGATACAAGTAGTGTGTGTTTGCACCACTGATGGATACAAGTAGTGTGTTTGCACCACTGATGTAGTGTGTTTTGCACCATTGATACAAGTAGTGTGTGTGTGTGTTTGCACCTGATACAAGTATGTGTGTTTGCACCACTGATACAAGTAGTGTGTGTTTGCACCACTTTGATACAAGTAGTGTGTGTTTGCACCACTGATGGTGATACAAGTAGTGTGTTTGTTTGCACCACCATTGATACAAGTAGTGTGTGTTTGCAACCACTGATACAAGTAGTGTGTGTTTGCACCACTGATGTTGATACAAGTAGTGTGTGTTTGCACCACTGATACAAGTAGTGTGTGTTTTTGCACCACTGATACAAGTAGTGTGTTGATTGATACAAGTAGTGTGTGTTTGCACCACTACAAGTATGTGTGTTTGCACAAGTAGTGTGTGTTTTGCAACCACTACAAGTACAAGTAGTGTGTGTTTGTACAAGTAGTTTGCACCACTGATACAAGTAGTGTGTGTTTGCACCACTGATACAAGTAGTGTGTGTTTGCACCACTGATGGTGTGATATACAAGTAGTGTGTGTTTGCACCACTGATACAAGTAGTGTGTGTTTGCACCACTGGTGATACAAGTAGTGTGTTTGCACCACTGATGGCACCGCGATACAAATAGTGTGTGTTTGCACCACTGATACAAGTAGTGTGTGTTTGCACCGATGGTTGATACAAATAGTGTGTGTTTGCAAATACAAGTAGTGTGTGTTTGCTGACCACTGATACAAGTAGTGTGTGTTTGCAACCACTGATGGTTGATAAAGTAGTGTGTGTTTTTGCACCACTGATGATATACAAATAGTGTGTGTTTGCACTGATGGTTGATACAAGTAGTGTGTGTTTGCACCATTGATACAAGTAGTGTGTGTTTGCACCACTTGATACAAGTAGTGTGTGTTTGCACCATTGATACAAATAGTGTGTGTTTGCACCGTTGATACAAGTAGTGTGTGTTTGCACCGTTGATACAAGTAGTGTGTGTTTGCACCACTTGATACAAGTAGTGTGTGTTTGCACCGTTGATACAAGTAGTGTGTGTTTGCACCATTGATACAAGTAGTGTGTGTTTGCACCGATGATACAAGTAGTGTGTGTTTGATAACCGTTGATACAAGTAGTGTGTGTTTGCACCGTTGATACAAGTAGTGTGTGTTTGCACCGTTGATACAAGTAGTGTGTGTTTGCACCACTGATACAAGTAGTGTGTGTTTGCACCGTTGATACAAGTAGTGTGTGTTTGCAGTTGTGTGTTTGCAAAATTGATACAAGTGTGTGTTGCACCGTTGATACAAATAGTGTGTGTTTGCACCATTGATACAAGTAGTGTGTGTTTGCACCGCTGATGTGTTTGTAGTTGATTGTTTAGTGCACAGTTGATACAAGTAGTGTGTGTTTGCACCATTGATACAAGTAGTGTGTCTTTGCACCATTGATACAAGTAGTGTGTCTTTGCACAAGTAGTGTGTTTGCAACATTGATTATGTGAGAGCATGTTTCATACAAGTACTATGTGAGTGCATGGTTCATACAAGTATACTCTTAAAAAAAAGAAACTTGACATAGGACAAATTTGAATTTTAGGAAAATATGACACAAACCAATCCATGCTGAATCCCTGAATGGTTGCCGAGGTCAAAATGTTTGAAAAAAGAAACGTTTAACAAAAACGTAACGTTACACTCACGTCTGTAGTGAATCGCTAAAACTCACCCTACATGAAATGCATGAGCATCATGAAATTGTGAATCACCTTGAGCTGAAGCCTGTGACTGTAGGCTTTATAAAGCCACATGAATGATACCCCACATGCATTGCTTTAAGCCACAATAGACGACAAAAGAATGAAAAGACCGACAGAAGCTCAACAACCCAACGCCATCGGGCGTTTACAAGGACGGACATCGCAGCATGATGTGGCAAGGCACTTCAGCGTGTCCAGACAGACCATCACAAACCTATGACCCGATACAAAATTACTGGGAGTGTTAATGACAGACCCAGGTCAGGTTGACCTGGAGTTACCACCGCCGCCCAGGATCACTACATCCGGTTGAGATATTTTCGTTCCAACGCCATGGCCGCATCATCCACAACAATCTAAATCCTTGGACTGCTCCGAATCTCTGACCAGACAGTGTGCAATTGGCTATGGAAAGCCAGACCTTTTGCCAGAAGACCAGTTCAACATCACATCGTTCCCTACATCAAGGTGATCTTTGGAGCATGACAATGCTCGACCTCACGTTGCACGTGTTTGACAGGTCTTCCTCCAGAAAAACAATGTTCAGTTGTTAACTTGGCCTTCTTGATCAACGGATTTGTCCCCCATTGAACATCTATGGGATACTCTTGATCGGCGCTTGCACCAGCGGAATCCGCCACCTCAGACACTTCAAGAACTGCACACAGCACTTCAGCAAGAGTATCAAACCATTCCTCAAGACAGCATTCGCATCTCCTTTCTTCTATGGGTCACCGCTGCCAAGCTGTTATCGATGCTCATGGTGGTCACACCAGATACTGACATTTTCCTCTGACCAAGTGGCTTTAATAGCCCTCTGTGGTTTTACCAAACACTTTCTGGATAATCATGTTTTGGAAATTTGTAAAGTGATGATTTTGCTGTAACTGAGCAATGATGTCATGTTTGAATCAGTTATATGCACTCAGTAAGTAAACTCCAAAACAGCATGTCAAGTTTCATTTTTTGAAGAGTATACTATATGAGTGCATGACATAAGACATATTTTAGGCAGGTTTCATACAAGCACTGTTCATACATTGACAATTTTCTGTCTTGTCAAACCATGGGCTGGGTGCAAAGTATTTAAGGTCAGATTCTTCAGCAGACTCCAACTGCAAGTTGCAGAAACAGCTCCATGCTCGAAAGTACAATACAACATGGCACGCCAGCAGGGCCAGGGACCTGCCCTTCCGCCAACCAGGGCACAGTATACAGGTCAATAGATATTTAGCTTCCCTGGAAACGGTTTCAACACTGCGTTACTGCCAGGATATAGCCACTAGCCCCTGGGATGTAATAAATCATCTTGAATTTACTATATCAAATTAGCAAGTACACAAATTGGCTTTGTGAACCAAATTATGACTCTGTGTATTCCTTCAGGCACAGCTCAGTGGACTGTCATATCCTGCTGCCAAATTAACATAAACTACATTCCACTCCCTCCACCAACCCAACCACATCCTTAAACAAGTTCATAAACATTATCTGACATTCACATATATACTCCACAACACCTAATAAAATAACTATCACCAACAACACAGGATCTCCATGTCTATCACCAACAACACAGGATCTTCATGTCCATCACCAACATCTCATGCCTGTAACAAAACAGGATCTCCATGCCTGTAACCCACAACATAAGATCTTCATGTCTGTAAACCCACAACTTCATAACATAAGATCTTCATGTCTGTAACCCACAACATAAGATCTTCATGTCTGTAACCCACAACATAACATCTTCATGTCTGTAACCCACAACATAAGATCTTCATGTCTGTAACCCACAACATAAGATCTTCATGTCTGTAACCCACAACATAACATCTTCATGTCCCACATTAGATCTTCATGCCTGTAACCCACAACATAACATGCCTGTAACACATATGTCTTCATGCCTGTAACCCAGTAACATCTTCATGCCTTTAACCAACAACATACAAGTTTCATTTCTTTAACCCACAGCATAAGATCTTCATGTCTTTAACCCACAACATAAGATCTTCATGTCTTTAACCCACAACATAAGATCTTCATATCTATCACACGCAATATCTCCTGGCTACCTGGTTATCATTCCTGAATGCAAGTCTGTGCACTGTGGAATATTTTTTTTCAGATATGAAACTGTGAAAAGCCACAGACATCAAGTCTAGCACAAATCACACAATTTGTTTGGGAGATGAGTTGTGAACAATATGTCACTGTTTCTAGTGTGTGCAACCCTATTGAGAATAAACACAGGCTGACAATATGTAAGCAAGGGGTATTCACAGATTTGGCACTAATGTCCTGCACCACCAAATCTCAGCTGTTTCTGTAAAATATCTATATTTGGGGATAAAACAACTATTCCTTCACATTGTCCTATGTCTTGGACTTCAGAATAAGTGGCAATGTCGATCTCTGATTTTAACCATTTAAAGTAGTAAATAAATTTCAAAATTAAATCTCAACAAAAACACTAAAAATTGTTCTCAAATAGCCTGAAAACACAGAAAATCGCAAAAACAACATTGTATTTCTTTGATGAAATCATTGCTATTTCACTTGAAATGCTGCATAAAGAAGAACGTTCTTAGTGCAGAATTGCTGCACCATGGAGGAAATTGGAGACAAGCATGTGTCATCGACATCAATCTCACAGCATGGTCAGGTCGTTCCACGCTCAGCGGGTCAGACACAAGTTGACCTAACGCACATTCATTATTAGCTGCATTAACGACCTGGACTTATATAAAGTTAGTTGTGGCTACCTGTTATGAAGACAGCAGGGAATCGAGAGGGCTTCGACATGTAACTGTCAATCAAGAAGTCTTCAAGGTCATCAGAGGTCAGCTGCAAGGTTGTATCTGGGATGGAACTGACAGCCGTTGATCTTGCAGTGTTAGGGTCACTAACTCGACGCCAGGATTTTAATTTTGTTTTCTTGGTGCCATACTTGTACACACGTGCATCACTGTCATTGTCAGCACTGTAGCCCTGCAAAATTGTGAGAAAGTGACTCTTATTGGTTCTCTAGTTTTGATATCATATAATCTTAAAAACAAAACCAAATGGCACTAAAGAATACGAAGACCACGGCCTACTGGCCACACTGTGAGAAGACCTCCATGGCCATATTTAGTTGCAGGGATGTGAGTGTGTATGTCGGCCATCTAATTGGGGATGTGTGTACAATTCTTCTAATGCATTTTACATCAATTGCCTGTGTACAGTGATCTGCCAAATTTGATAGGGGATGGTGTGATTTAATGTCATCGTTATCTTACTTTAAAGGCAAATATATTGGGTGAAAAGATCCATTTCATTTCACATTTGGTACAGTTGTTGGCCAAATATGATTTCTGATGTCAACTTTTCTTTCAACTTTTAACTTCATGTGGCTACCATCATTTGCACTGAGATGCAGCTGTCTCTCGGGCTTGTGGTTTCTGATTAAGATTCTTGATAACTTTCTAAATTTGGTATTATTTCTTTTCTTCTTAATTACAATCTGAATTCCAATGTAGTGAACAAACCACTATGGTCCTACATGGCCTTGAAGTACTGCCATTTTTGTGGTGTCTGAGACGAAATGATAAAATATCTTTCAAAATTTAATTGTTCTCCTTTATTTATAAATCATTGCCACATAAAATTTACAGCATGACATTCATTCATTTTCTTCACATCCTGTCAAAGTTACAACTTTCTTGGTTTTGCTGTTTATGAGGACAAAATGAAAAACATTTTGCTTTTTAACACAATGAACTGTGGATGTTTTGGACTAACCAGTAGATATTAACAGACTGTTAAACCCAAATCATATCATGAGTGAGTGAGTTAGTTACGTTTTACGCTGCTTTTAGCAATATTCCAGCAATATCACGGCGGGGAACACAAGAAATGGGCTTCACACATTGTACCCATGTAGGGAATTGAACCCGGGTGTTCAGCGTGATGAATGAACGCTTTAAACACTAGGCTAGCCCACCGCCCCATTGAAGGAAGGCGGAAGGAGGGAGGGAGGCAGGGAGGGGAGTTTAAAACTGCATGAAGCTGCAATGCAGCACTGTCCCCATAGACGACACCAAGATGGCCTTCACAAGATGCCCGTGAGGAATTTGTATTGACTAAGGGCTACTAGTTCCCCATTGGTTAAAAAGTATCAATCATTTTAATCTGGGAGATAATCATACCAATCAAAAAGAGAGATTCATTCAATGATCACTGACATGTTTTGTAATCTTTTTGTAAGAGCAATTAGCAAAATTCCTAATGTTTTATAGATCTTGAGGCACATCAAATATTGATGCCCTGACAAAATCAATCATAATTCCAATTTAACAACTCAGGCATTATATTAGATTTTCATTTTTTATAATGCATTTGAAAATAAACCATTTTTCTATTTCCTTTTCAAAGACTGACAAGAGCTAATCACACAGTTATAAGCACGCAGTTCTTAATCAGCGTAGGAGATTGAAATTGACTCATCTTTTTAAAACGCTTACCTTTCCCAATTTCTTGCTCAAGTGCTCAGTATTGCTGCCATATTATCCTACTAAAAGGGTCAGTGGGATAGCTGAGTGGTTAATGCTTTCCCTGGTCATGCCGAAGTTCGATCCCAACATCAGTACAAGGGAATATTGCTGAGTGCGGCGTAAAACTAAACTCACTCACATATCAACAAAAAAGACAAAAAGGAAAACACCAGAGCTTTGTATTATAGAATTTGTCTGTATCTTTTCACATGATAGTTGGACTTTCTATTATTCATCTGAAATGTGAATCCCCATCTCTAACACAAACCACCTGATATCCTGGTTCCACCTCTGTACATGAATTAATGAGACTCATATCCGTTATATCCCAATGCTGGTTGAGGGGAATTATAAATGGCCAACAATGATGCAAGTCATTGCTGTTTGACTCTTTGGTGAAACCCAGGAGAACAGTCTGGAACTGGCAACCATCAGTGAGGTGTGACGTGCCATTAGCGAACACAGAAGTATTAACTACATGGCTGGCTGGCTGTTACGCAGATATTCAACATCACATCACTGCTTTGATACAATTATACAATGAGTAAGAAGGGTTTAAGCAGTAATATTCCAGCAATGTCACAGCAGGGATATGGGTACAAGAAACGACTTCCCACGCAGTACCCATGTTGGGAATAGAACTCAAACCATTGGCATGACCACTGAACACTTTAACCACAAGACTATTCCACTTTGCCTCAAATATTTACGATAACCAATGCTGTTACCCAAAGTCAAATCAGTCCATCACAAACCTACAACTGACACACTGAGAATCACCCCCAAGTGTATTTCAACATAATATTTATATCAACATGAATCAACGAATGTCAATATATCTTGCATCAAAAGACAAGAGAGTGATATTCTATATCAGCCAACATACTTCTTCGACTTTCTGTACTAGTAAACTGTAATAATAACAGTAATAAACAGTGACGTGTCCAGCTCACCAGCTTCAGTAACACATACAAGATGTACTTCAGTTGTGACATCACAGTGCCTGATGATGTCACAATGGTGTGCAAAGCATTATGAAGCAATTTTATTGCTGTGATATCTCCTGGCATCTTATATACACACACCCATGCTATATATCCTACAATAACTGGTTTCTTTATAATAAATCTAAATTACTCTTTTTACATATTTTGGTTTACAGATTGCATTAGATTCACACAAACATATACACAAATTTATGTAGCTAAACAAATTATTACTGAAATATCTGTTGTTATTTCTTTGTTCTGTGAGATTTGTGGGCAAATCTGAATAATAATTCTGTATAAAGTGCAAGTTCTTTAAAATACTTTTACAGTATCACATGCATACATGATGATACATCTGTGTGGGCTTTGAGTTAACACTGTCTGCAAACAGCCTACAATTAGTCTATACAGGTTTACAATGGTAAATCCTATATACACAAACAGAGGTGTAGGAGTCACATTTCAGATGTGTCAAATATCACAAGATCCTTGGTTTGAACTTTTTAATGAGTAACTAAAATGTGTGAAATACATAACAACCAATGCTGCAAGCATTTGCCATAATCGCGATATTGTGATTTTATAATTACCATGAACTTGTAGAAACAACTGACAGTGAACTCATAAACAAACTGGGAGTGAATTCATAAACATATTGTTTTTTATCTGTATGATAATAAGTAATTTTACCAACATTATTAACACTTAGCAGATATTGATGTGTTATATTAAGTCCAACAACAGGAACACTTGTACAAGAACATATATGATTGGCTGCATCACTTCCTGAAAGAAACACATGTTTTCATTGGTGGCAAATTTCGTTTCATGTTTCTAAGTGTTTTCTTTTGCATGTTGTTTTGTGTCAAGCACAGTTTGTGGCAAGTATTAACACTTCTCAAAAGGACCTCTGTAAATACTATCATGAGTGATTAACCCAATAAGTACACCCAAACTTAGAAAGACAAGAGGATTATTGTCATGGGGGGACTAGGGGATTGTCTTTTGTTGTTTTGCTAGGATATTAGAGCTATATTTAGAGTTTGATCATCCGGTCAGGTCATTGACGGCATTGTAGTTAAGATTTGAAATACATTTGCCACATAATAATTCAGTTTGATATTTAATGAAGCAATTTTATGAAACAAGTCTACTTGTCATCTCCATGGCTATCAATTCACACACAGCTGTGTATTCTGAAAGTATATAAGTTTCCGAAATTCTAAATCTGTGACAAACTGTGACGTCATATACTTTTCAGTGACATCATTACTACGTCACTTCTTCCAAATCCTAACATCAATTGTTCCTTCTTACTCCCAAAATGGTTTATTACACTGATAAACTCAATAAAACATAATTTATATTACAAACTATTATTTACAATTTCTTGAAGCAGTTGTTCGTTGTTGTTGAGGTCGATCATGCCGACCCAGACCACACCCCTCAGGCTGACGGCCATAGACTTCCAGCTTCGCTCCAGCATGCCAGTGTGAAAAATGACGATCCATGGGTCAGGGCGCTTAATCACTAAGCCGGAAAAGTTTCCCTCACTTAGAGGGAAGATATCCTGAAACATCTCATAGTCTTTAAATGCTGGCGTTTTTTGATCGTTGAAAACATATTGACTAGTTAGTACCTCTTCGACAGTCATAAACAGGCACATAAGTAAAACAACAGTGTTACAAGTAGCCATTTTGAAAACTTCTCAATGTAGCGCGGATATCCGCGTTATGAGTAGAAATTTGTCAAGACCCACTTCTAAAATGGACTCTCAATGTTGCTGAATAAACTTGATAATAAACCCATTAAGAGATTATTTAGAAGCATCTGAATACACTATCACGGTGATAGTTAGCAGATGATGAGTCATGTGTCTAAAAGCCCCAAATTCAGCGATTTCTGAAGTCTTTTTGCCCAATTGAGCAACCTAATTTTAGGTGTAACGAATTTGAACGTACACCGGCCTGAACGCGGAAGTCGATTTGTCGAAACGCGATAGGATAGTTTACCTTGGTTACCAAAGAGCGTGCAGTGGAGGCGATTAACCCTAAGTTACCAGGGTCAGTTCCGGACAGAAACCAAAGTCGCATTGTGCGATCTTATCTTTGTGTAGCCTATGTTTTAAGCAGAAAATGTATCCATAAAACAAGGGAAAGCTATATGAAACTTTACTTTAACTATTTTTACTTCTAATACTATTTCGTCCTTTTAACCGATCGAGGTAATATAATCTTTAAGATTCCAATTAAATTCGTCCTATTATTATCTTACCCAATTCTTTTCTCTGATGAATTTTGAGAACCTACACACAACAAAGAAACCTGTTGTAATTAACTATTGTATTCAATAATTAATTAAATTCACAAATCAATACAATTTTTAAAGGTATCACTATCGCAGTATTAACTTGAGTGTATAATTCCCAAGAAGAAACTAAACAGTTAACCAAGAATCAGTCCGTAAAAGAACAAAGGTACGAAACCAACACCCAACAAGGTTATGCGATTTAATTAAAAATTAAATTACTGTATCCAAACTTTATCTAGGTTCACGTATTCATACAAAAGTATCACCATGGCCGTACAAAATTGAGTGGCAGTGCAAATTAAAAGATGTAATTTTAGATAAGAGAACAAGAGCTAACACCCCTTATATACCTCACAAATAGATTATGGAAAATTCTGCACTAAGGTAGTTGATTCTGGAAAAAGCTCCTTTCCGGACAATTCTGTCTAAATTTTCGCACACCACTGCCCCTTACTGAATCTACAGGTACAATGTATAACAGTTGAAACATTATTGCACAACGTGTAACACTGCCTCATAACACTCCAAAGTTTGAACGTAGTTAGTACGCTTCCTTCCTTAACCGCTGGTATATCAATAAACATTATACTTTCATAAGTATGACGTATGTGTACACATAATTAAAATCATCTGCAGTCAAACCTGATCACCCTCGACCAACTCATGATAATGCATCAGTGATATATATATCTTATAGGTAATATGAAAGACAAGCTCCAGTGCATAAAGCATTGTGTTTTGTTCTTCATTTTATGAAGCAAGGTCCGAGGATTGTGATCAGTGTACACTTGAGCAGGTATAGCAAAGTAGTACCAAGGTTACACTTCAAGTTATTGCAGAACTAACACCAAACCAAGAGTTCCTTTTTCAATGCTGGAATAATTTGTCTGTTGTTTGTTATATTTCCTTGAAAAAAACAGCAAACAGGGTGGTCGAAGTCTGATGCATTTGCACCGCAAATGTCACTAGAATGTATGGCCAATTTGAAAGGTTTCCGAACATATAGTTCTTGAAGAACAGGAGACTTCGTGAGTAAGTCCTTGTTAATGTTATATCTGTTGGAATCTCTCTAGAGCTCCTTGTGATTAAGGATGATAAGCAGTAGACTGTCTATAACTGATGCCTATCCTGGAGTACACATGGTAGTAAGCAGGAACTGGCTACCTGACTTGGTATTGGACCAACACACTCAATGGTGACCCTGATGAAAGGCTCTTCAAAACTTGGGACAGGTTTCACTGGTGTTTCTGCTATGGTCTTCCAACCATTTGGCACATATAGCAGGTTTGGCAAACTTTATCCACATCATGCCGCAAATTAAGCCGCAAGATATTGGATAAAATGTTGTCACAAGCTTTGTTCGCATCCAATGACCTGCGAAACAGGTTTCACGTGCCAAAATCAAAACATGGTTTCGATATGAATTTGGAAAAACGTGACGTAAACCCCCATTTTTTATTAGCAGGTACAACAGGCGCCCCCATTTCCTCGTCAAAACGCTAGCCGTGAAGTATGATGGTGATAGCAAACTGGAACCTTGTCATCTAAGACCGGATCTAGTTCCGGATCTTCTCTCTGTAACATAACCAACTGATCCCTGCCCAGAGCTAGTTCCCCAACAGCCAAATTGTCAGTATGTTTAGTACTCTCCATTTATACAGGTCATAAGAACTATCAGCCAAATTGTAACTAGAATCATTCTCCAGTGGAGAATGTTCTCTAGCCTTAGCAAGAGTACCGACACAGGAAGGAAAAAAAAACACCTAGGATTTCTTTTTCAATATTTTCAGTTCTTTCCGAGGTGTGAGGCTCGTGACAAACAACAGGATGAGACAAATATTTCCCCTGACAAATTATTCCCAATAAGCAAGATAACACATTTAACAGAGAGTTGCTACACCCCCCACCTTAAACAACCCAGACACCAAGTCAGTCTTCAAAGTCACAAAACGGAGAGGCACACTTGTAAAAGCACATAAACACTCCAACAACCAAAATCACTCAGAATTGGCTGATGACCCCAAAGACATTGGCAAAATACCGTCCAAAATGAGAGTCTGAAGAGCACCATGCAGTATGGCTCAGATAAGGTATGGGCTTACCATTGGAACTGTCACCATTATCTGACACGAAACCTGCACAATGCAGATGATTCCGAGTTGCTGAAAGGATTTGCTTTGAACATAGCAAGTCAAGAAGAGGCACGTCTCAACCTGGAATCATGTATAGCTAGTGTCGTCATAGATGACGGACAACATGTTTAAGCTTAATGCAGACAAAACTGAAGTAACAGTAATTTCTACTCGTCTCAGACTACAGAAATGTTTCCTCGGCAGTCTTACGGTTTGTCAGGAATCCATTCCGATCTCACAGCCAGTTAAAGATCTTGGAGTCTACATTGACTCGTCCCAAACCATGATGACCTCATTAGCTATCTATGTTCAACGTGATCACCATTAAATCTGTCCTCAAGACCCATCTGTTTAACATTCACTGACAATTGTTCAGCTTTATAGTTGTGTGCGCTCAGATGTTCCTTGCCGCGTGGATTACACATATGTGTCCTCACTACTAGGTAGGTACGTTCTCCTCTCACACAACAAACTTTGATGACTTGTCTACAAAAGCTAACTTTGACTTAAGATTCACAAAAGCTTTCGTGGAAGAATTACTGTTTTTCAAACCAAGCTTTCTACGCTCATCAGAAATGATATGCCCTGGCTAACTGCAATATCTACACGTAGACTCTGACGAAGATCCACACAGTGGAGGGAGTGCACATGTGCATATATAGAGAATACTTACACAATTAAACGAGGTTCATTATATGTTTGTTAAATTATACAGAATCGAGTGTCCTTCCTATGGTATAGGAAGGTCACGAGTTTCGTATAATCGTATACATAATGAGACCGAGTGTGGGCAGTATTTTATTTATTACCCACGTCTGACATGCATTAAATTGACAAAATAGCGTATTTTTGTTGTTTTGGTTTCAAACCGAAACCGGTTTCATAAAGAGGTTGCGGAAGAGTTGTGTACTGTAGTACAATATTTGAATGACGTCACACTGTAATGACGTCACTGCCTTGGTAACCGACGTCACGATGCATGTCAGTTGTCATCGCCTCGTACGGCCTCCTACAGTAACGTACTCCGTTGCATCCCGTTTCTTGGTTTGCAGTTGCTTCACGCAGCTAACATCACTGGTGGAAACATTACGTTTATGTTTTACGACGGTTAAAATGTGTCAATTCGACTCACAAGTTTTCAGCGACACGGTAACGTTCGCAATGTTTACATTCCCACAATGCAATGCTTGACTACTCAGCTTCATCTGGATGTACTGATCTAAACTTACGTTGGTAGTAGAAATGCGACGTTCATATTGCCCCATATGGTTTACGTTAATGACAGATGTAATTAAAATAATTCAGAGAAGATATTTAATCCGAACGTAAACCGTCATCAAACTGTTATCATTTGTTTTTTTCTGGTAACGTTCGTCTTAACGTAGGGGGGCAGACACATCAATAGAACAGCGCGCCAGTTAGCCCTGTGCGAGAATTCTTAATTTAGGTCACCGACACCGTCGTTTGTTTTCTGCCTTAAATTAATCGTAATTATCCTTAGAAAGTATTAAATTTGGCATCTTAGAAAAGAAATACAGTTCGCTCTACCACCATGTATAGTGTAATAAAGCACACTTTCGCCCTGAACTATTATAACGTTAAAGCACTCGGATCCGCAAGCGTCCTCGTACTTTAAATATAATAGTTCAGGGCGAAAGTGTGTTTTATTACACTATACATGGTGGTAGAGCGAACTGTATTTCTTAAATAAATGTACATGAATAAAATGGATAATAAAGAACAACTTGGTTGTTTGTATGTCATCGTATCCCAGTTGCGTAGATCGTAGTTCCCAAACAATGAGTGAGTTGTTTAACAGCAATACGAAATGTGATGGGTGAAGCGGATGTCAGCAATTGTACGCAAGTATATATGGATAAAAATTTAACATCCATAATTTCACATAGCTTACAGCATTAGATTAGATTAGATTAGATTAGATGTGTGTGTGTGTGAGAGAGAGAGAGAGAGAGAGAGAGAGAGAGAGAGAGAGAGAGAGAGAGAGAGAGAGAGAGAGAGAGAGAGAGAGAGAGAGAGAAACCAAAACAAGCATACTATTGAAGAGTTGAATTTAACGCGTTACAACTTGTCACATGTTGGTCATGTGACATATTCTGAACATAATTTGTCAACTACTAACTGCTAAGATCTATGTGAAAAAATTATATTTACTTATAATGTGAGAAATTACTTTTAATGATTTCACATACATCACAGTCTACATGCAGGCCTATTTAGGTCACGTCGGTATATAATTAAGGGAAGATCACCTGTGATAGTGAATTTGCACCTGTCGACACTGTTTGTTGACTGACGGGATAAATAACGCTTTGTTTTGGAGTTTTACATGTATCAGATGACAAAGCTAATCACAATATGCAAAATATCACGTTTATGAAGTTCTTATGTGCGCTGTGTTTCATACATAGACACAACGTCG